TAGCTACATCAGAAAGGCTTGGATAACTCTCAGCAGTCTATTACAATTGCTTCAAACACCGGGCGTGCAAACTCCAGTTTCATTACAAATACTGCATTTGACTTTTTGTGTTAATGGCCCTATGCACAGACAAAATTTAAGTGTGACTGAAGCTTCAAAACTAAAAGTACTTGCAGTTACCTATTACACACCCAAATAATTTCCATAACATATACATGTGGCTTTGCTTGACAGTATACTAACTGGACCCTGTGGGAGACAGGTAATTAATGTTTATAGCATGGAAATACTCACCTATGTGGGAGCTAGAAAATTCAGTGGGTTTGTGTGAAGTTCAAACTCATTACAACTGTATGTTTATGTTCCCATTGAGAAGTGTAGCTCCAGTTCCCGGGAGCAAGGATGAAGATAAGCACCTCAATTGCACAGGAGCATGATTGTGTAGTTTAATATTCTACAGTTTTACACTTTTGGTGAAATCATCTCAACCCCACTCTTGCCCTGAAAGTGCAATGCTACTACTCAGCCAAACGCTGACTTTTCTGACAACGTCTTGTTTCAATTTCTTGTTTCAAAATTCAAGAATTTGGCTAGATTAAGCGAGCTTGTCAGTGCAGCAACTGTGCCCGTGCGCTACACAGACAAGTTACTTGGACACATAAGCAAAACGAACTTCACGATATCCAGGCTCAGGGTCCCAGCCCTGAGTGCAGCTTCCCTGCTGCAGCTGGTGTCTCTCGGGATCTAACAGTTACGAGCACAGTGCTCCGAGCTTATTTCCCCAGGGCACTGTGAAAAGGGTTTAAAAGTAAAATGGAAAAAGAAATTAAGAGAGTTACAGAGAAACAATAAAAGGAAAGAGGAAAAGGGATAAGGGAAGAAGGAAAACAGAAAAGGTAACAAAAAGAAAACAGAAAGAAGAAAAAAGAAAGGGTGAGGAAAGGAAAAAGAAAAAAAAAAAGCAAAAGTAAATGGGAAAAAGTGCCTCCAGCTGAGCGCAGCCCCCGCACCCACACGGGCACACGCCGCTCCTTACCGCACCGCCGGCTCCCTCCATCTCCCATCGCCGGCCGCGGCGGATCGCAGCCGCCCTCCCGCCGGGCCGCGCCGAGCCCTGCCGCGCCGAGCCGGGCTGTGCTGTGCCGGGCCGGGCCGAGGTGCCCCCCGGCCCGCAGCGCAGCCGGGCAGCACGGCGGCCCCAGCGCGGTGGGCGCGGAGTGGAGCGGAGCGGCGCGGGCCGGGCGGCGGGGCCGGGCCGGGCCCGGCGGGGCGGGGCGGCGGCCGCGAGGGGAGGGCAGGGAAGACGGGGGCGGGGGTCGGCGCGATGAAGGGGAGGGGAGAGGAGGAGGGGGGAGCGGAGTGCACCACGTGCTTCTTGAAAAGATTTTAAAATAAAGAGGGGGAAAAAAAAAAAAAAAAAAAAAAAAAAGGGAATTATTTCAGGATTAGCAAAGGAATAGAGTGAAAAGCGTGCCCGCAGCAGCGGCGCTGGGCAGGAACACGTCCAAAGCCCGCGGGGGCTGGGACATGCCGTACTCTGCTCTTAAATCCCCTTAGTGCGGCTCGCAGTTGTTGGGGGGAAAAAAAAAGGAAAAAAAATGGAAAAATAAAAAGCAGAAGCCTTTTCCAGCCCTGGGGCTTTCCCTCGCAGTCCGACTTCAAAAAGCAGAAGAGCGCAGATGTCTTCAGAGTAACCCCATCTGAACACTTGAAACTGATTTTCCACTTTTGTTTTTTTCACAGTTCGCTGGAAGCTCTCTTGCATCGTCAGGTTTTAGAGAACTCAGCCACATCATTAGAATTTCTCTAACTAGGACCTCTGAGCCTTGTTCTCTTAAGTAAAAGTTTCCCTGTCAAAAGCTGTGCTTTAGAAAGTACCCCAAATCTCATTAGCCCCGTTAGAGGAGTTAACTGCACAAGTAGCTGGCAGACTGCATAAAGAAGGGTGTCAGTTTTTGTAAGTTCAGTATATCTGTGTTTTGTTCAGCGGCAGCTGCAAACTTCTCAAACTTGAGGATAGGCTTTCTGGAACAATCTCTGAGGACCAGGAGTCACTGAACACATTTTATGTTTGCTTCATTCTGAGCATGGGTAAAAAAAACTGTGTGTTAGGTGGTAGACAAGGCTGTTCTCTAATGCTGTGCTCCTCTGAAAGGCTTTGGACAGTGCTGGTGGTAGAAGTGCATCACCATGAAGTCACTGACATAAGTGTACCACACCCAGACAGAGCAGCACCTCTGTGGCTGAGGAGACAGCCCAGCCCTGCCTTGCTCCCCACTGGCCTCGCAGCTCTGTGCCAGAGACACCCTCCCTGCCACTGGGTGATCTCAGCCCTTCTTCAGCCCCATGGGGAAAAAGTCCATTTCCTGCAGGATAAAAGCATGTCCAGGCATGGAAGGGTCTCGAAGGACCCTGGCCTAAACCTTTCCCTGTTTGGCAATAAGACAGGGATACCAGCACCATCTCTGGGTTCTTCCAACTTGTCTGGAGGTTCCATCCCGCAGCACGTCCCCATACTCTTCCCAATAGGGCTGTGGCATATGGAGTTCACACTGCTTCTCCTACACTGGACCCACTATTTCTCATCACATCCAGCTGGTTTACCCAAAAAAGACATCCACGTTTACCCAAACAATAATGCTCCTGCTTTATACCCACATCACCCAGCAGCAGACTGCACCACCTCTGTCATCTGGGTGCCAGTGGCATACACTGTATTTCAGAAGGCATTCTGCTCTTTCCCTACAACTTCCCCTCTCCCTAAGCCTCTTGCCTGCTTCTCAGCACCACAGGGTGTCTTTAACCATTCATCCTAGGAGCAGCACACAACCTGCCCCCTGCCCTGCTCAGCAGCACTCCAATCCAGTCGTTTCTGTCCTTTGGGAACCGGTGGGTGAAACCTGTCTTTCCATCACCCAAAATATCTGGCACAGGTCCCAAAGAGGTCCCTGTGATGCAGCTCCTCCATGCCCGTTGTCTGTGGCTGAATTGTGCTGGAAGGACTGGATGATATGCTGAAGGGCTTCACCCCTCTCCCCCCAGCCACAACTGTGATGCCAAACATGTTTTGGCCCCGCTAGGGTCTTGTCCCATCTGTCAGACGCTCTGGGGGCCTTGGGAGCCGGTGTGGATGCGCAGGCTGCAGATTCCCCATCTGTGCCACATCTGAGATGGCTAATGCAGCGGAAAAAGAAACCACCCAGTGCCTGGGTCTCTGAGGAGTTGATGCACTCTGCCTGCCTCTTCCCTGACAGGCTGAGGTCATAGCACTGCAGGCCAGGAGGCAGCTGGGAGCAAAAGCAGGGCTGGAGTGAGGGTCTGGTGATGTCCCTTGCAAGGCACATCCCTCTGCCCTCGGCACCTAGGTGGCTGATGCAGCCACTGCACTTCAGTTTGCACCTTTTTCCACCTATTTGTGCTGAGAAAAAATTGAACTTTTCTCTCTGATCCAGGCATCTGGCCTGAGTCACCCAGACATTTAGGCTGCCGTGAGTATGCTCTGTGCCAAAGGACTGGGAAAGGAGAGCATTTGCCAGCCTGGGGCAGGATGGTCCTGCAAGCTTCTCCTACGTGGGCATCTAGCTCTTGGTTAGCTTCACTACAAAAGAGGGTGATGGAGCCCCGAAATTGGCACAAAGTGTTGTTTCTTGCACCACTGATCATTGTTTTCTGCAGAAGGGCCACATTAAATGCTAAAACATTTCAGTCAATGGGCAATCAGCAGAGAAATGTGCAGGGGTTGGCACATTTATGAAGAAAATCTGTATTTTTTGCCGAAACACTTGATATATATTTCCAGGTAGTTATATTTAAAAAAATAAACGTCACAAAAAACTGACACAAAACGTGGCAGCTTGCTAAGTAGTTATGAACTACATATCACAGTTAGAGAGCACTCTTTAATTCTTAAAGAATTTAGTTGTGAGCATACAGCATTTTTACCTAAACAGAAAATTTTAAAAACACCAAAACCTCGGAAGATGGCAAACAGTCTAGTCCAGCTGTGCAGTGGCTAAGCTGGTCTGAATTCCCCAGCCATGGGCAGTGACGGGGAGCAGGGAGCCAACACTGGGTAGGTGACATGTATGGGTGCTGGGCTATGGTTGAGCAGGGCACAGGAAATGGGAGACAATCTCAGAAGCTGGTGGCTATGGCAGACAGAAGTATTAAAGCACCATGAGGGACAGCTGGATCCCCAGCTTGGATAAAGGGTATTTGTGTGAGAAGGGGCCAAACTGCAAAGGCAGTTGCTGGGGGTATTTGGGGGAGTGGAGCCTTACAAGGCCAACAGTGCTCGTCAGCTGAGATTGCCCAGGTCATGGTATTGAAAATATCAAGTTTGGGTATGCCAGGTAGCAAAACTGGTACCCAGGGCAAAATAGTAGTTATGGTGGACTGCTTGTTTGCAAAGAGTCTTGAGTAGAAAACAAGAGGTCAATAAACAGGAAAATGAGTAAGACAGTCGGGGTCAAGGGCTGCCAAGATGTGCTTGTCAAGGAAGCCCACACTTGACCCCCAGAGACAGAGCAGACAGCAAACCAAACCTGTTTTTCTGACTATAGCACGTGGGTCAAACCTGCTTCTGGTAACAACACAGAGGTCATAGGGTGCTTTCTTTCATCAGCAGGGCAGCACCTAGGTGGACACATGGATTGAGCATTGCTGTGCCAGTGCCTGTGCCAGCCAGATGGCACCAGCCTCTTTCCACCACTTTCTAAGACAAACTTAACTGTCTGGGACAAAAATTCACAGCTGAAAATACCCTACCTCACTATACCACCCCATAACGAAGAAAAAAATAAGAAGAAAAAATTTTAAAAGGAGTGTATTAAAAATCAGTGTTCTGCAAAGAGTAACCAATGCATAAACTGTGATTTTTTGCCAATAAAGTTGCTGTCTTGCTCATTATTCTCCTCTCACAGGGAAGTAGTACAGGAAACTCACTTCCAAATAATCTTTCCTTATTCAAAAGGCAGAAAAGCAATCATCGAGGTACTCACCAGAAAATTTCTCAGGACATTGCGTTTCAAATCAAAGAGACCCTCTTTTGTCTTGAGGGAGAAGGCGGCTGGTGATATAAAAAATAATATCATTTTAAAAGCCTAACCAGAAACACCACTATCTACAGATGGAAAGACTGAGTTAATCATTTATTGGATTTTCCTCGTGCGTCTGGATTTTCTGGAGACAGCTGGGAAAACATTTTTTTTTCCCGTTTAACTCAGAAAAACATAGTTGCCATCACAACCAATTTTTTTCTGAATTAAGGGTAGAAAAGAAGCTGCAACAGCACAAGGGGAACAGCAAACTTGGAGGTGAGGTGCAGAGTAAGAAAAACTGGGCATGTGTAAAGATGGTAACCTTCCTATTACTTCTTTAAAAGAGTCGGGTGTAAATCATTATCATAAGGCCCAGGGTGACTGCTACAGCATGGAATGGGCCAGTGAACACACTGGTTAGTTAGCCAGCTTCACTGTGAGAAGGTGTATGCTGCAAGCCATGACAGTATCACCATTTTTCACTTGGCTTTTTCCTCACAGGTTGTTAGGTTTGTTTGGCCTCATACCCAAAGCTCCTGGAAACTTCCCTTTTATGGGTTAACTGAGTCTTGTCCTGCTCCTTCACTCATGGACAATTCTCTAGAGTCTTGCTATGGCCAGGAAACAATCCAGAGATTTCACTTCACTCCCTCCTCCATCTGACATGTTCATTGGGAGGAAAGGAAATGACCAACATTCCCTGCCTAGGGAGCCCTGTAACTGGCCAGAAATAGACCATTTGATGGGATATCTCAAATTTGTTATTCTATCCATCAGAGTGTGGGGATCTCCAATTTTATTTCCAAAACCGGGGACTTGACAGCACCAGGACTTCACCCTGCTTGAGTGAGTCTTTAGAAATCTCCTTATCAGCCCAAGTCAAACTCAAGAACACAGAAAATCCTGCTGAATATCTCTGCTTTGGAAGGTTACCTCATGGGTCTCTGTTGTCACATCCTCTCTTAATCTTAACCCTTGCTCTTCCCCATGTCTAGCAAATCTGTCACTTTGGCCTTCTCTTTAGAAAGGGCTGCAGGGTCCTGTGAAATCAGCCCATTTGTAGGGGGTACAACCTTCTAAACAGGCTGCCATCCGCTCCCCAACAAACAGCCACAGCTCCTGATTTTGTATGGAACTAATGAGCAGACCGGTCATTAAATCTTTTCTTTGCCAACGCCCTCCAAAAGTGGCAGCCCAATGCAGCAATCATGGTGTAACTGAGAGGCCCTACTAAAAGTTTGCCAGAGTGAAGACCATGAGGAAGGGTTCCAACCATTCTGATGTTGGCCATGTTGTTCCCAAGCATCTCCAAAAGTGACAGAGAAACAGGCAGTTGTTCCTGGGCTGCTAAGCCCTAGCAAGTCCTGCTCTTGCTGCTCTCCAGCACTAAGGGTAAACCTAGCCTTCTCTTTGGATGGGGGAAAGCCCTCCCTCCTGCTCCTGACAGGCAAGCAGGAGGCCAGGACTAGGAATTTAGGATACTCCAACAAGGGGAACACCAACAGTGGAGGCAAGGAAAAGGAAGTTTAAGCCAGGTCCCAGGAGCTCGGTGTTTGTCTCTCTGGATCTCTGCCACATTAGATCATTAGATGGAGGTTTCTAGGGATCAAATCACCAAGACTCTTTCTCTTCCCCCAACTTGCCACATAAAGGGTAAAGAACAGAATTACGTTTTGGTTTCTTTGCAATGTCATCCATATGGCAAAGATAGATTTGGCTTTGGGAGAATATGAGGGAAGGGTTCTTTCACTACGGCATGGTTTAAGCCCAGATGGAAATTAAGCACCATGCAGCTGCTAACTCAGCCTTGTCCCCTCTCCTCCCTCACCCCTGTGGAATGTGGAGGAGAATCAAAGTAAAGCCTGTATGTTGACATAAGAACTGTTTAATAATAAAAATAAAATGAAATAAAATAATAACAGTAAATAATAGCAATGATAATAAAAATGAAACAAGTAATGTACAATGCAGTTCCTCACCACCCACTGACTGGGCCAGACCTCCCCTTCCTGAAACCAGATCATCCGCCCTTCCAGGTAACTCCTCCAGTTCGTACACCGGGCATGACGCTCTGTGTGTGGGACATGCCTTTGGTCAGCTCGGGTCACCTGTCCTGGCCATGCTCCCTCCCACTTTCATCTGCTTACCGCCTCCCTGGCAGAGCGTGAGACAAGGGAAAAATAGTCTTTGACTTAGGATAACCACAACTTGGCAAAATACCAAACCATCAATGTGTTATCAACACTATTCTTATACTGAATCAAAAAACAGGCCTGTTACAGCTACTGAGAGGAAATTAACTCTGCCCTAGCTTAACAAGGGCACACTGCCTTGTATTACAGAGCATGCATCATACCAGAATCATCAGCCCCATAAGTCAATCTGGCATGTGCATCTCCTCCAGCTCTTTCCCAGAGGACACAGTACCTAGTAGAAAAGCACAAGAATCATATAAGGAAAGAGACACCTTTCTTTCTCAGGCTGAAGCATTGAACCTTATATTCATCTATTGAATCAGATTATCAAAAGTTATCTCAAAATAAGTGAAAAACCTCTGCCTAAGCATGGCTACTCTTAGGAGTCTTCCACTTAGAGCCCACCTGCCCTAAACTCTCTGATTCCTTCTCCCATCCCTAGTTTGTGCCTGCATTTCATAACCAGATGGATTTATTAGCAAAGTAGCATATCTAGATTATCAACCACAAAAAAAAGAATGTTTTGCATAAATATCAGCAGTGGTGTTCAAAAATGCATTCAAACACACAGGTGAGGAGATAAGGTATTTGAGCAGAAGAGAAATGGTCCAGCTAGTCTTTTACCATCCTGAACAATATATATGATTCTACAGAGCATTATTCTTTCTATGGAAGCCTTAGCCAGTCACACAGAAATCTTTCTGGTCTTGACCTCCAAAAGGAGATGCCAAATACTGTAACTGTATGGTATGCTATCATCAAGGGAAGCATACATTTCAAGCCAAGATATGGTGGCTTTGTGGTTTTGGCTTCTTTGGATACTGGCATATTCCTGTTGAGTCTCCTGTACAATTTTTCCTTTTTCATGAGTGTCTATTTTATCCTGCTACGGATGGTTCAGAGGACTGAGACTGCACATTAGATACAAAGCCAGTGAGACATGAGGAGAAAAGAACATTTATTCAATGGCCTTTTTTTGGTAGGGTAGATAGCACCTTTTTACAGACTATCAGCACCTGGAAAACCTGAGTCAGAGAAGGACTGCTGCAGCTACGATTGTGTGTTGCATTGACATGCAACAAGCAGCCTTCAGAGCTGGGAAAATGTAAAGCATAACACCCCACTCTCTTTCCCAAAATGAGATAATTATGGCCTGTAACTCTGGCATGTTCATACAGCAGTGTCTGGCTGAAATGCTCCAGTCAAAAACACAAACAACATTGCTCTGAAGAAAAGTACTAACAAGATTGCTTCCTCTGCTTAAACAAATCTGCAATGGGTGTTGACAGCAGAGAGCTGGAAATGGATGGGCACATCCACATCCTTCCCCAGCTCTGCCCCAGCAGCGAGCACGCATCAGTCACAAATGACAGGTGGAAAATTAAATGGGGACAAGCCCATTTCACTGGGACAGAGTGAGCCTAGCCAGTGTGAACAGATCATTATTGGCTTTGGTCAGAACTGGAAGGCCTCAGCTGGCAGATCTCTCAGCAGATTTTCTAAACAAAGGAAAACAGCATTCATTCCCACAGCAGAGGACAGGAGCCAAACTGTAAAAGACTCGAGACAGAAGTATCACATGTCAGCCAGAGTGTGACACCAGAGACAGCCACTCTTGTGATGCAGCACCATGGTAACAGCCATGGTCTGCTGTGTGATGGGATGTATCACCAAGCAGGGGGGAGTATGGTGTTTTCTTTCTCTGTGTCTTTCTGTGGTTTCTTGGGGCAGCCTGCCACACAAGGCTGCTGCACAGCCTACTAGGTTAATATCAGCCTGGAAGGGTCGTTTGAAGGGATGGAAAGCCTTAGAAGAGCAACAGCCCTGAGGTGCCTAGGAGGATAGAGCAAGAAGGGAGGCATAGCTTTGCAGAAACAGGGAGCGTATGCCTGGCATCACACACTGAATGTGTGGATGGAAAAGTGGCTACCGGGGAAGACACATGTCCTCTCTTCTTAAATCTTCTTAAATCTTCTACAGTTTCTTGCTCTTCTCCATAGTCGGATACCAGACCTCCTTTCAAACTTTTCATCTCTGTCTCTTCCCTCTCCAAAAATCAATGTCAACATGCATCCTCGAAATGTCCACAGTCTCCTGTACCACCTAATTTCCTCACAACTAAACTCCATCTCTTGCTCCCCCAGCTCTGGTTTCCTACAGCACTCAAACCTATACCTCAGCACTGGAGCTCTCAGTCCCCCTGCTCTCCTGCTCTGTAGTGCTGCTGCCCTATTGGTGAAGAGTCTCAGCCTCACTGTCCTACATCCCAACACTCACACTCCCCACCTCCTTAGCAATCATTTACCTTATTAACCCTGCCCATTTACCTTATTAACTGGCCTGCAGCTGACACTTCATCAATGAGATGGGGGCACAAACTTGATATTGAAGCAGCAGGAAAGATATAGGAAGTTCTTACCCACCTACCATTTTGCAGTTGTGCCAAATACCCCGTTTAAAGGTGCACCCTTTGTAAACAGAATGCTCTAGCTAAGGAGCATCATTTTTTTCCTACCTTTTTTCCCCTCAAATTAATTGCTTTTATGATCTTTGCTCCCCCTATTCTTTTCCTCAGCCTTACTCTTCCATCAGCACCTGGGTAAAGCAGCTGCCACCTGCTCCTGTGCTACAGCCCGTAGCATTAGCTTTCACCATTTCATGTGTCTGCCTCCACACCCCAGATGCCTGTACTGAAAGCCAGAGTAGCTGCTATACAGCATCCATCTCTTCCTTCTCCTTATTTCCAGAAAATCCTCACCAGGAATGCAGAAGGCATGAAATGGACAATGCAATACTTTAGCATGGAGATTCAATTTCCTCCCAAGTAGGTTTTATCTGAACAACCGAGGGTGTTGGTAGGTCTTGCCTGTCATTTATCAGTCCCTATCACTCACCACAACCATGTGGATCCAGCACCTACAGTGGAAGAGATGTGCTGCTCCTGACTTCCTCAAATCCAAAAATCCTTATTTATTTTGTTTCCAAAAGCTTGATTTTTTTTTTATCCACTGCCATATTGACTTCTTACAATTTCATCAAGCCAGCTTTACAACTCCCTAATTATATCAAGATTAAATCCAACTTAAAAATTAGCCCAAGGGAAAAAAAACTGCTCAGTTCCACAAATATGTGTTCCAATCCTTCACATTTTTTTTTCCATTTATATATTTTTAATTAGAATGCTAGATTTTGATAGCTAGGTACAGAAGCAACATGCTGTTTGCTTCCCTTTCCTTGATGTCAGAAATAGTTTTTTCTGGCTTGAAGAACTTGCTGGATTCCTGTTTTCTGAGAGAAGCAGAAGATGAAGAAATATGGATGATGAAGAAGTGATAACTGTCTGAGACAGTTGTGGGAGATACAAGCTTCATTCAAAGCCTGCTGGAGTCGGTGGAAAACTATACCACTTGCTTTGGCCTTTGGAGTCTCGTTTGGTTCTTCCCAAACTTTGGACTTTCAATGGCTGTCTTAAAAGTAAATTTTTAGTCTGATTACAATTCTACTGAGCATATTCAACCTTCACTGCTTTAAGTGCTAGTAGCAAACAGTCAGCTGTGCTCAGGATAAGGCTGTGTGCAAGTGTTTTCAAGTGCAGGACAAGCAATCATAATTATAGTTTTTCATACAGTAGGTTTGTCTGATGTCCAGGGTGCACCCTCTTGAATTAATCCTCCTACACCACTTGTCAAAAATGCAAGTCCTAGCGATCTGACTCCTCAGATGAAACAACTGAGGCAGAGAAGTTAAATGACCTGATCAAACCACAGATGCAAGGGAGTGTTACACTCAATATGAAAGGGCTGCTTTTTGCATGGCAATAAACCAAATGCCTCTCAGCCAGGCGCCTCTCAGTCCCTACTGAACACGTGGTTCAGTCCCACTGCAGGTAGTCACATACATTAAATTAGACAGACACACCACTACTTTATAAATCCAGGACCCAAAGATCTCAGATTCACACATTTTTAGCTGGTCAAGAACTGTGTTGAATGCATCTACTGCATTTGAAGTGGCCACAAAATAGCTAACCAGTCCAGCGGCCTCAGGAGTCAGCTTGGTGGAATGAGACATCAAGGAGGGCCTGAATTTCCCCAGGTTGTCTAGGCTTGTTGAAACTGGGTGGAAAAAGAAGAGAATGATATTCCTGAGACACTAAGGTTTGTCCCTACATCCCCCTTCTTGAATGGGGAAAACCTTCCAATCAAAGAGCTGAGATTAATAAACCTGACTTACATCTTGAGTTTGAGGGGACTTTCTGAACTGGATGAAGATTTTTGCCTCTGTTTGCAAGTCAGTATTTGTAAATGTGTTAGTGTCTCCCTTGATACCAAGAGAAGATCACTGTTTTCTGTAGGTAAAATATAAAGATTCAGCTTTTCCAAAGAACTCATTCAGCATTTCTTTAGACACACCTATGAAAAACAAACAGATTTGCACTGGATGTTAGCAAAAGCCAAGAGTATAATGAAAAATCCTTCTACTTCCCTTTATGGGAATGTGATTATTGCTAAAGTAACTTACTTAAATAATGGCTTTGATCTCTAAAGAAAACAAATACTGCAGGCTTATGATGACACACAACTACCAAATCATCTGGTGGCATGACAGGAATCCTTTTTGCATTTCCTGCATTCTCCCTGCATTTCCTGCAGGGAATGCATTTTTTGAATGGAGCATGTACA